AAAAAAAAAAAATTGCATTTAAAAAATCTGTTTGCAATATCAAAGATTACGCGTCTTCTAATCGGTCAACAATTTTTGTCTTTTTTTTTTTTTTTTATAATCTATATTCAATTTTTTTTTCTGCAGTTTTAATGTTACGTTTTTAAACAAAAAAAGAAGGACTATTAATATCTACTAAAATTATTTACATTCATAAATGCTAAAAAAATAGCTGGAAATTTTACGTTCTGTGTACCAAAGAGCAATTCATTAATTGTTTGACAATTTATTTGGTAGTTACGATCGTCTAAAACACTAAATTTTGCCACTTTCCACTTTCTCTGAATACCCATTCTATTGAAGCATTAAAAACAATAAATCGTACTTAATTTACAAATAACAGTGTCAAAAAAACACCAGTTTTTCAGACATAATAAAACCAGTAAGACAAAAGAAGAATCAAGCAATTTTTTTTAATTTCTATTATTAATGGTATTTTATTAATGGTATTAGTAAAGCAGAGGCGAAAAAAGGTACCGAAAACAACTGTCAACAGTTATTTTTTGAAGAAATTTATTGAAAAAAAAAAAAAGCTATTTTCTTTCAAAAATTAAACTTCCAATAAACATTAACGATAGTATTAAAAAAAAAAAAAAAGAAAACTTACCTGGATTATGATTTAAACGATGATGAGGTGTCGCTCGATTTGTTCGAATATTTGCACAATTGACCAAAACCAATAATAGAACCATTGGAACGGCAGTTGAATAGAACCGCATCATTTTTTTTTTTGCTCTTTGTTAGTCCTCTTTTTTTTGCTGTTTTAGTCTTCCTTCGTTTACAACAAAACAATTTACTGCTTGTCCGTAATCTCAGTAACTTTTTTTCTTGTTGATGAATAAGGTTTTTTTTTTTCCGACGACTTCTGTTTCTTCTTCTCGTCTTCTGTTAAATAAGAAGAATTTAGTAAGAAATTTTAAACAGTGAGAAAAAAAAAAAAGCACAAAAAAGTAAACTGACAGAAAACTGTCTTAAAGCATTTGCATTTAATACAGAAAACGGAAATGAACACTGTTTGTAATGGAGAGGCAAAATTTTAGGTCATC